CTGATGTTCTCTGACGGGTTTGAACGTGGATCACCAGGCTCCATAGTCTGAACTGTTTACCATGGAGCTTATTCGAACCTCACCTGACCTTCTGTGGGCCGAATATTTACATTAATTAATCGCTGAGTAGCGACCAATTTTATGACTGTTCATCCTTTAATGGTAATTGCATTGAATATCTGTTATTCACTGAGTCCCCCAGATTCCCTGGTACGGCCGAGAGTGGGGAGGGCCCGCCCTCCTCTCGAAATGCTCCCGCACGGCCACGCGTATACAAACTATCAGGGAAGCTCTACTCACTGCTTCTCGTGGCGGGGTGTTGTTTACGAAATTGAAAGAACGAAAAGTGAATGTCCGGCGCTTTAACCTGGTTGGTGGACGTGGAGGGTTCACCTAGGGGAGTTAGCGAACTGTAGTGGCTGTACTTCGTTGACCAACCACCCTCGTAACCGTTATCATATAATCTTCAGCGGTGTTTGAAATCAGAAAGCAAAGAGAAGCAGCAACTACAGTTTTAATAGCAAATAACTCAGATCACAAAGCAGTGAGGCGAATGAGTGAGTCAGCGAACCGAGAGTGTTAAATGTACAATTAAGCAGTTAATAATAAAGTTAGCAGAATGAATATATGAGTAAGCGGTAAGCAATGTTCAAGCATACATATTTCATACAAGCACAACAATAATAAAGGTACAACTATATAGATAAGTTATTATAGTACGGATGACTTGGTCCGCTAAATAAGTTAACAAAAGGGCTTCAGTCAGTCAGTCAGTAACAACGTAGAACTTCGTACGTACGTACATCAGTTCGAGTTGCCACACCACATTAGCACAGAGATGCAGTTGTCGATTCAAATCCCGTAGTGGTAGAGGTAGCAAGAGTATAAGCAGTAATCGGGAAGATTAGGGTTTGGAGATGTTATTTAAAGAGTATAATCCAGTGAAATAAATTTGGAAAGAGGAAAAAAAGGGACATGAAGAATTCAGAAGATTAGAATTTGGGAGAACACAGAGAGTGGATGCACCTGCGCCATTGCAAACGATTTTGAGCCATGTCATTCAGGGTCTCTAACCATCGGTTGCTATCATCTCGCGGTCCCCAACCAGGTAGTCTACACCTACCAACATGACTCAGTCCACTTGTCAGTGACTTCATGGACTTGTGCCATGTTTTGGTTTGGCCGCCCCTAGCTTTCTTCCAACCTACTCCTATACCACTGAACATAGCACGTCGAGGCAGTCGGTCGTTGGGCATACGTAACACGTGTCCCAGCCATCTCAACTGATGAAGTTTCACTACTTCATCAATTGATTTGCCATCCTTACCTAGTACCCGTTTCCTAACAACTGTTACTTACTCGATGGTCCCATGATATACGAGCAATATTTCGAAGACACCTATGATCAAATACTAGTAACCTACGAATATCCTCTACTCTTACCGGCCATGTTTCACTGCCATAAAGTAGGACGGAACGAACTGCTGCGCAGTAAACACGTCCTTTGGTTGATAGACGGATATCTCGCCTACGCCATAAATGACGCAAGTTGGCAAAAGCTAGTCGAGCCTTCTGTATCCGTGCTGAGATTTCGTCACACACTAAACCACAAGGGCTGATGAGACTTCCAAGATAAGTGAAGCGGTCGACACACTCAACTACTTCACTCCCTATCACTAGTTCGGGTGTCGATGTAACCCAATCCTGAAGCAACATTTTGCATTTCGAGGGAGAGAATCGCATCCCGAACATGCTTGCATTGTTGCTTAGAGTGGTCAGAAGACTCTGCATTTTGTCAGCGTCTTCACCAAATAAAACTATGTCATCAGCATATTCTAAGTCAACAAGTGAACCTCCCGGTAGAAGTTCAACCCCTGGAAATTTAGATGAGGAGAGTGTTATCTCTAAAAGTACGTCGACCACAAAGTTGAACAAGAATGGGGAGAGTGGACAGCCCTGACGAACACCACTTGAGGTAATCAATTCTGATGACAGTTCGCCATAAGCTCTCACTCTACCAGTTGTGTTCGAGTAGAGAGCCTTTATAAGGTTAATGTACTTCTTTGGTACTCCTTTCAGTGACAAACACTGCCATAGAACCTCACGATCAACAGAGTCGAATGCCGCCTTAAGGTCGAGAAATACTACCATTGTGGGGCGTCTGAATGTGTGTCTGTGTTCTAGAACCTGACGTAGTGTGAATATCTGATCTATACAACCACGTCCAGGTCGAAAACCAGCCTGGTTTTCTCTAATCTGCTCTTCACGAGCTTTGATTAGGCGTCGAAGTATTATTGAAGCTAATATTTTAGACACTATATTAGTCAAACTGATTCCTCTGTGATTGTCACAAGAGGACTTTTGTCCTTTCTTATAGACTGGCACAATCAGTGATTGAGACCAGTCAGATGGGATTACGTCCAGTTCCCAAATTCTACCTAAGACCTCAGTTAATCTCATTGCTAATACTGGACCACCATCCTTAAAAATCTCAGGAGTAAACCTGTCAGGGCCTGCTGCTCTCCCTCGTTTCAGATTTCCTATGGCTTTTTCAACTTCGTAAAGGGACGGAGGACCTACATTAACTTGCCATTCAGGTTGACTAGAGATCGTGGGAAACCGAAGTGTGGCTGAAGGCCAGTTGAACTGATCCCTAAAGTGTTCTGCCCATCGATCCAATCTCCTGGATTGAGAATGAATAATATGTCCATCTTTCTCTGAGATTGTTTCGCTAACGGTCGGGTTCCTAATTCCGGTTTCCTTAACGAGTCTGAACAATTGTCTGCTATTACCTATTGCCGCTGCCTTTTCCATCTCTCTTGCTTTCGCTACCCACCACTGTTCGCGATCATTGCGTAGACTTCTTGTCAGCTTGCGCTTAAGCTGACTCCGCTCTTCATTATGTTCAGAGCCAGGTGGAATGAGTTTCCGAGCATCTATCAGTGCGATAGATGCTGCTGAGATCCAGTGTTGCTCCCTAACCTTCTGGTTTACCTTACTAGCAGATATCACTGCTGTTTCCACAGCTTTTCGGATATCATTCCATGCTGCATCGGGGTGGGCATCACATACATGGCTGCCTAACTGTTTTCCTAGTTGTTCCTGAAATATACTCTTAGCTTGACTATCATTAAGTAGGCCCTAAGAGGTTTCCTTGCAGCGTCTTTCCTACGTCCAGTAAGACGCAAGCAAATACGCGCTCGCACTAGAGCATGATCTGAATCTAGGCATGTGCTCCAGAATGAGCGACAGTCTTCTATCGAGCCCCTCCATCGGTGGCTGATAGCGATGTGATCTATTTGGGTCCAACGTTGGGACGAATTAGGGGGTCGCCATGTTAAAAGATGTTTTTCCTTATGCTTAAAGTTAGTATTTGCAAGGAACAGGCGGTTATCTGAGCATAGCTGCAACAGACGGTCGCCATTATCTGTTCTTTGAGCCACGACACCATAAGATCCACCTAGGTGTCTTTCCCTATCGCTTAGTTTACCTACTTGAGCATTAAAGTCACCGGCCACTATTACTACATCCGAGCGCTTAGCTTTTCGGAGAAGGTCCGAAAGCTTTCTGTAAAACTCATCTTTTACATCATCTGAGCTGCAGTCAGTGGGAGAATAGGCAGAGACGACGAAGAGGCAACGACGAGTGTCCCTATCTTTCCGGATTCTTACTGTTCCGTTCAGTCGGACAGCGCACAAACGACTGTCTACTGGGATCCACTCTAAGAGAGCTAGTTCTGCCCTAGGACTCAATGCTATACCTACGCCGGCGAGGCCACGGGAAGCAGAATCAGGGCTTCCAGATACACGAAGCGTAAATCGAGTCGGTTCTTTATTTTGGCATGGTGAGGTCAAATGAATGACGCTACTCGGATCCTGTATGCGCGTTTCGGAGACGCAGCACACATCGATGGCGCGAGATTCTAAAGTTTTAGCTAAGGAAGCCTGCTGTCCTATTTGGCAAAGTGTTCGTACGTTAAAAGCTCCTACGTGTAGTTTAGAGCGTGGTTTCAGGAGACCAGGAATGGCGTTCCACGTACTCGAATCGTTTGCCCTAGCGGTGCGAGGTGATAAAGAGACGTGAGGAGGGTTAGTCATGGAGATAAGAGAGGTATTAGGAGGTGTAGGAAGGATTTGAATGTGACCACCTTGGTCTCTTGTGCTGTTACGGGTATGAGGGCTGATGTCACTTCCCGGCTGCCCACACCGTGGAAGGGTATTTCTTGAGGAACCTGAAAAGGAAATTGGATTAGTGTTGGTCTTGACGACCTGGGAGCGTGACCGCAGAGCCCAAGGGACAACTGCTTGAGGCCGGTCGCGCACGGCCTTTTTGTGGAAGGTTTTTGACGTGTTAGCTCCGTTCTTCAAAGGGCCTTACCGCCGGAGACGGAAATCCGTGAGGTAAGGTGAGGTGTGACATTTTTAGGGTCGACCTTTTCTAACCCCACCCCTCCTTGTGGGAAGGCAGCATCGCTGTCATGCTGGTTGTCCGAAGGAAACACCTTACTGCTGTCACAGCCCTCTACAGTCAGCAGTACGACTTCGCCCTCAGACCTTGAGTTGCTGCTTTTAGTCTTACCGTTCACCAATCGACCTGCCTGGCATGGTAGAACCTACAGGAACATATGTTCCAGCCAATATAGCTCGGTTGGGTCATCACGATAGGCAAGCCCGACCACCGCGTCAAGGTAGCAGCTTCGATCGGGAACAAAGGGCTTAACTGGGTTAAATGAGAACAAACTCAATTGCACGTGAGTTGCTATAAGACCCTGATTCCAAACCAATGCTCCACATGGGCTCCAATACCCTGAGGGAGCAAATGGCATATCGTTGGTCATCGGCTACCATGGGACTGCATCTCCTTACGTTGCTTCACTGCCTTGTGGATCAGACCTTTAGATCGAAGGCTCCAGGTGTGGCCCCCTAAGAAAACCACCTGCCTCGGTCTAGGCACCCAGGCAGTATCACAGCCCACACACAAATAAAATAAATAAAAAAAACTGAACAAACTTTGAATCGGTTTTTTTAAAAATTATAATTAGTAATAATCAAGTAGTATATAGGTTCTGTTTGAACGTTGTTGTCAGGAGTAATTTCATCGCAATAAAAAACCGTTTCATATTTTTACATCAAAGAAAAAAAACGACATCAGTTGTTAATCTTGGAATTTGGTTCCAATTTCGAATTAACAACATCATAGTGGAAAGAAAGAAGAGAAGAAAATTCCTTGTTCTTTTATCTTTGTGTAAAAATGTAATAAGGCTAGTGTGTGTATGTGATGAACTCAGTAAGTGTTGCTTTCTGATCTTATTGAGTTCTTATTGTTGGATAAATATTTAACGTCATCCACCAGTTGAACAAAATCGTGAAGTTGGCCTGTAAGTTGTCCCAGTATCACCCATTAAAGGATTGTAATCTGTTATATTTGAGAAATAAAAAGTGATGCGTATAACGTATTGTTAATGATGTTGGTACGTTTTTTTTTGTTGTTTTGAAAAAGCAAACAAACATTTGAATGATTTTAACGCAGTTCGTAAATGAACTAATAAAATAGGGCGCTAATTAAAAATAAAAAGCATCTCAGATTGTAATTATGTAGTCGTTTGCAATTCATTTGACAATGGATAAGTAGTTCCAAAATAGTCAAAATTTTGAGAATAAATTCACTCTTTTAAAAGTAAACTATTTTTGTTAATTATGAATCTTAATAAAAAGATGTGCACCCCTAATGAACCTTCAATTAGTACAACAAAATAGCTTTGTTCCTAGCTTTTCCCATTCTACTCCTGGTCTTGGTAATATCTAGTTCACAATTTTAAGCATATAAATCAGCTAATTTGAATAAGTTTCTAGATATTAATGGTATATGATACACAATTACGTGCTGCATCTTCCCAAAAAGCACATTGGCGCAAAAACTAACTTACAGATCATGTGTAGTTTATGCTTGCCTACTCACTGCCTTCTCGTGGCACTACTGTTGTTTACGAAATCGAGAGGATGAAAAGCGAATGTCCGGCGCTTTAACCGGGTTGGTGAACATGGAGAGTCCATCTAGGGAATTTGAAAAACCCTGATTCCAAACCAATGCTCCAAATGGGCTCCAGTATCCTGAAGGAACAGATGGCGTATGAACCAACCGTTGGTTACCGGCTACCATGGGACTGCATCTCATTACGATGCTCCATCGTCTTGTGGATCAGACCTTTGGGTCGAGGGCTCCGGATGTGGGCCCCTAAGAAAATCTCCTGTTTCGGTCTGGGCAGCCGAGCAGTATCACAGCCCTCATACATATGACATTTGTGTGGTGCATATGTATTTGGTGCCTCCTTGTATCAATATCTATGTGTTAAAATAAATAAATATGCTTGCCAACAGTTTTCGAGTACCTAAGTCAAGGTAGACAGTAGTCACGTTGAACCACTTGGACTGGATTTCATTTGCTTTAAAAAGCCTTGAATAAATCAACGTACATGGACATGGATTCTGTATCTTTTATCATATGTAAGGATTTCTGTTACTCACCTACAAGCGAATGGACATCCCATAAGATTATAGTATCTTTGGATTAAATAGGCAAGTAATAGTAGTAGCGATAGCTTGAAGTGGTAATTTTATTTCATGAAGCTTCTATTTTAAAATTAACTACCTGAAAATAAATAATAGTTTATAGGTCATTTGCAAATGACCCTGGACTTACGTTTCCAGCTAGCTATCACTTGCCAGGAAGGCGTGCTTGTAATATTAAGGTATGAGGTTTTAACTTATGTCACTCAACGTTATCCTGATACGTTTGCATTAAGTTATTTAACCCAGAATTAAGTAGTAAAGAAATATATAAGCATGTCACTAACTTAGCAATATATATAACTTGTGAGATGAACTTTCTATGTTGTGTCGATGAGACCGTTGTACGTTACAACAGTCCTCATATGTAGTCATTACAGTCCTATTTGTTTACCATTTTTGCATTATTCAATTTATTTTGATCTTTTTTGATAGCTGATTAATGGTGTTTACATCGAATCATTTCTGACACTGACACATTCCAGTTAATCATATTTCTCAATATTGATTCAGAAAAATAGTTAATACATACTCTTGCTACATTTCACATGAACTAGGGTTGTTTTCATGATATCAATGAAAAATTAACAAAAAAGTAGAATCTAGCATGGATATGTATCGGTCCAAGATTTGTCACACTACCATACAGCAACACCGTGTATTTCCTTAAGATATATAAATTCTGGTACAGTTGAGATCGAAAAAAATTACGTGCCACATAGAATAAAAATATGACATGATGCAAAGGAATAAAAATTTCAAACGAAAAATAAGTAAACAGTAGTGGTACGTGGTAGGCCCCGACTATAGCTGTTGTCTTAACGTGGTGGTTGGGCTTGCCTATCGTGATGACTCAACTGACCTACGTTCGTTGGAACATATGCTCCGTTAGATCCTAACATGCGGTGGAGGACGGTAAGAATAAAAGCGGTAACTTAAAATCCAAGGGAGAAATCGTACTGCTACCCGTAGGAAGTGTGACAGCAGTAAGGTGTTTCCTTCAGACGATCAGCGTCTGTAGCGATGCCACATTCTCACAATGGAGGGAATAAGTTGGGAAAGTTCAACCCTGTAAATGTTGCCCCACTACCTCCCGGAATTCCTTCTCCGGAGACAAGGCCTTTTGAAGTGCGTAGCCAACGCATCAGAAACTTCCCATAGAAAGGCCTTGCGCTACCGGCCTCAAGAAGTTGTTCCTTGGGTTCTGCAGGTCACATTCCCAAGTCGCTAGGACCACCACCAATCCAGCTCTCTCTTGAGGTCCCTCGAGAAGAAATATTGTTCCACAGTATGGGCGCAACCGGGAAGTGACAACCTCCTTCATACCCCTACCTCAGACTAACATAACAGGGAATACAGCTCAATTAAAAATACAACTCGGAAAGACTTCTTTCAGTTAAGGGAGTTTTCACATTTATGAAGAACGTAAAGGAAAACTATCGTATTATCGCTACTGAATTCCCTCTTGAGCCTTGTCTGACAACTTCTCAAACAAGTGAGTTGTACCGCCTTATGACACGTAATATGTGTGGGCCAGAATAATCCTCAGTTCCCCTACTGTAACAGACAGTTTTCTCGAAGGTTTATTCATCGGGCCTTTAACTTAGAAGTTCAATGCACAAGGTCTGGTCCAGTGCTCGCTGGTGACCAAAATAGATTCATAATCAATCCGATTCCTTAGGATCTTGGAGCCATTGTACACCATTGGTTTCGAACCAGTGTTTTTTTTAACTCCCCCAGGTAAATCTCCCATATCCACTGGTTCGGCTTAGGCGTCGAACGCCCGCGCCTCATCTCAATTTCGTAGGAAACGTCTCTGCTAAGTGAAGTTAGTAGAAATTCCTTGTCAGGCTATAAACATGGCCAAGTGAGAGCATTCCGGGAAAGGAAACAAACTCTCCCTACACTAGACCTTATTAGGGGCTAAGTTTGGTGTCAAAAGTGAAAATTAACGAGGCGAAAAGCAAACAAATGGAAAATAAACGTTAGACGCAGTGATACAGCAAAAGATCATTAACAAGGAACACATGAGGTAGGCAAATGAAAAGCATGGTTTATGAGATCATTTTTATGTTTAGGTATTACCTCGATAAGGCTTTTATTATTATGATGTTAGGCAACACATTTTATTCTTGCAATACGTTTATTATATATTCCCAACTATGCACAGACCATATAGGATAAGATCCTACTAACTGAAATAAAATTTACTGATGTATATATACACATATGAAATAACTCGCTATCTGACTTCAATTTAGTTTAACTTACCATTGAGTCGGAACCGTTTCTTTTTCTCACCAGAATGAGTACTTTCACGAACCTGCAAGATAGCATGAACTGATGATTCAATACGAATAGAATGATCAATTTGTAATTACCAACGTAATATAATTAAATAGTGGTGGAGTAATAAGTATAGCATACATGAGCATATATATAGTTTACATATCACTCATTTGTCTTCATCTTATGGAACCATCTTCCCTGTTGAATACTGTCATTATTTATTTACTTGAACACATAAATATTGGTACAAAGGGGCACCGAATACATATGCGCCACACAAATCTCATTTGATATGTGTGAGGGCTGTGATACTGCTCGGCTGTTCAGACCGAAACAGGAGGTCTCCTCCTTAGAGGGCTACACCCCGAGCCTTCAACATAAAGGTCTAATCCACAAGGCAGTGAAGCAGTGTAAGGAGATGCAGTCCCATGGTAGCCGGTGACCATTAATTGGTTCATACGCCATCTGTTCCTTCAGGATACTGGAGCCCATGTAGAGCATTGGTTTGGAATCAGGGTTTTTCAACTCCCCTAGATGGACTCTCCATGTTCACCAACCTGATTAAAGCGCCGGACATTCGCTTTTCATCCTCTCAATTTCGTAAACAGTAGTGCCACGAGGAGGTAGTGAGTAGGACTTCGCTGGCAGAGGCTACATACGCGTGGCCATATGAGAGCATTTCGAGAGGGAGAGTGGACTCTCCCCACTCTCGGCCTTACCAGGGCATTTGGGAGCCGTGTGGTACTTTTCATGATGCTTTAAGAGGATTAAGCCAAAGTGGGATTTAGTACGAATGAGTATCAATACAAGTTTCCACACTTCATAACAATAAAGTAAACAACAAGGCGAAAATAGTAGGATAAGAATTACAACAAATAGAAAAGTAAGAGTACTGTTGGTGACAGTAAGGAAGGACTACCTAACAGAGAATATGATTTGACACAAAAAGAATAAATTCACTGAATAAAAATTACAAAGTAATTTTGAAACCTAAGATTTAAGGAGACAACTAGTGAACACATCTGTGTTATGGTGAACGATTTTGAGCCATATTACATTTCCAACCACTAATTATGGTAATCACGAGGACCTCAACCAGATAGTGTACATTTAGAAATATAGCTCAGGCCAATAGGAGTTAGGAATGCCACCCAACTTAAAATTTAGAGGAACTTAGTGCATGAGTGTGACAAGATGGATGTTACCAGTCTCGGACCATATCGTTAGAGGTAAAATACAAAATGTAGGTTTTGGTCACTACTACTTATAAACTGTTTGTCGTGTTCTTATCGCTTTTAAGTTTGTATGAAGCACTGAAAACAAGTCCGAAAGGCACTTGTAAAAAAGTCGAGCGTTTGTTTAGATTCTTGGCCACACTTTTTATTTAATCTACAAAACCCGACGAGGATAATGGTGCCAAGTTTTGTAGTTAATGGATCAAGAGCAAAAGAAGTACAGTAGTAGAATATTAATATTTTTTACAGCTTACATTACTTTTCCCTTCCTTCTCGTCTTGATTTTTAGATTTGCACTGAGCAACCTCAGCATTGAATTCAGCTTGAAATTTTGCTCTGGCAGCTTCCATAGCTAAGCGATGTGAATCACTAACAGTTGGAGAGTTTTCAGACCAAGAACGGAAGAATTTCCAAAGAAAATATGATAATGCGAAAATAAACAAAGCCACCAATCCATAATTGAAGTTCGTTTGTGGACTAACTACAAATTCCAAAAGTTTATCAGAAAATATTTTACGATTACTTTCTGGAGCAGGAAAGTCCATCCTGAGCACAGCTTCTTTGTGAGTTTATTAATTCGTCAAGGTTGTTACTAGATGATTTACAACAAGAAAACGAACCCTGAAATTGTTCGAGAAATGATTAAACATATGAATGACTTGAAACAGACTTCATGTCTAAGAACATCTACTGTCGGTTGGGACCTCACTCGGTTTACTACAGCTTGTATAGTGTTGTAGTAATTCAGAAAACGAGGACATGGAACTGACTGATCACAAAGTTGTGCTAACGATTTACCTCATCCGAAACACGTGCTGTCGAGGACAGAAACTGATATCTTTCAACAAAGAATTAGAAAATGAGCCCCGAAGTCACAGCTAAGGGTTTTAGAACCACATATGCTTTAAGATGGACATTCACCAAGTTACATACTACTGCAGTATACACAACCTTAGTGATGCAAATAAATAACTATGATTTATCGTATCACTATACAATATGTGGATTCGTGCTACCCAAAGTAAGAAACTATTAATATTTAGGAGTCAAATTAGGCAGTGATCTCAAAACCACTAGTCACTGTAAGGCTGCTGCTGCGAAAGGCTATAGGGTATTATGGTCTATTCATAGGTCTTCCCAGTATTTAGATGATGAAATGTTTAGATTATTATACCCAATTTATGTGCGACCACATTTAGAATATGGGATTCAAGCAGCGAGTCCTTGTTTCAAGTATGAAGCAGAGATGCTGGAAAGAGTCCAACGACGAGGTACTAAGATGGTACAAGGTCTATCTGGCCTATCTTATGAAGACAGACTGGGACACCTCAACTTATTTCCGTTATCTTACCATAGAGTATGGGGTGATCTAATATTGGCTAATCGTATACTGAACGATGAACTTGGTATTAACGTAATATCTTTTACTTTTGTCTAGGACTGATCATTTGAGAGGACATTCGAAGTTCAAAAACCGAGATCAAATCGTTTACGTCTGGAGTTTCGTTTCTCGTACAGAGTAGTGAATTACTGGAATCCTCTATCGGAACAAGTAATATCATCGCCTTCTGTTAATGTATTTAAAACGAGATTGGACCTCCACAGTATTACAAACTGCAAGGATTAATATAGGTCGATAGACTTCCTATCATTAATACTGAAGACTGAAAACTGTGTTCAGACCGTGACTTTGAGTCGAGACGTGATTTGCAAATATAACTTGGTAGACTTCAAAGTTAATATAGGTCTGTACAATTTGATAGTTGATAAATTAGCATGCATAATTCCTGTGAGATGGGTTCGCTTCCAATCAATAAATATTCAGGGTCAAACATGCGTACGGTGAAGATAAGCATTATATTGAACGTGAAGCCGTCTAGAAAGCTTTGAGATTCACAGCAGTTTGGCTTGCCTTCTTACCTCTTTACGGAGTCATATTTTTATTGTTCGACATCGTTTTACTGATCATCACATTATTTTTTATTAATACCTAAGAACATGACACGAACCACAGTTAATTTTTTAAACTACACACTAAATGTTTGTCCTAATACTAAATCGGAATAGCTTACGCTCAAACTCAGATTGGTGACCAACTTTGCTAAACAAGTTATGCCAAGTCAAAGATCAACCTTGGGGTCAAACGGGACAGTGTTGTGACCTCGAGATATTAATTTACTTTCAAATTCCAAACTTTTTCATGTTCAAGTGCATAAATACGACATATAAGAAAATTCAGTATCAATTACCGCTGGATCACCGAAAAAAACCAAGAATATGGGAATAAACGGGAAGTTAAGTCCTAACGTGATTTGCATTTGTCAAACTTTTGCTGTGTTCTTACGCAATAAAAGTACCATTTCTGATCAAAAGAATCTATCCTGAGCTATACGTTCGGTAGATTACTTTTTTCGAGTTTCACCCAATTTAATAACGACGCGCCTGAAATAACGACGCGCTCTGAAATAACGACGCGCTCTATTTAAAAGGACAGTAGTATTCAAATGGTTCAAATGGTTGTGGACGGAATAGAAGAAGCTTTCGCTTAACAGGCTTCCGTGTCTAGTAGCAGGGGATCACCAAATCCTCCAGGCAGGAACCTAGGTATGTTAACAATAAAAGAGGAAAAGAAATTGGTAAATCATAGTGCGATGCTGTCCTTGGTCCTTAAGAATAGGTCAAGTTGCCTCTTGAAGGACTCCTGAGAAGTCGCTTGGACTAGCTCGGCCGGCAGCGAATTCCAGCTTTTGACAACTCTTAAGGAGTAGAAGTTGTGTCTACATTCCGTCTTGCTATGTTGTGTTTCCAGTTTCTGGGTGTTACCCCTTAGGTTATTGTTCGAACTAAGCTTAAGTAGGTGTTTAAGAGGATGTCCAGAAGTGTTAAGAATACTATAAGCCATTAATAAATCACCTCTAAGACGCCTATATTCTAGTGGGTAAAGGTCTAGTGAACGGAGGCGTTCTTCGTAAGGCTTAGATTTGAGTCCTCGAACTGATTTCGTGGCTCGCCGTTGGATACGCTCCAAAGTGACCTTATCCTTTTGGAGTGAGGGGGGAGTACTATGTTTCCGTACTCTAAATGGGGACGGATGAAACTATTGAAGATTGTGTGGAAAGTTCTTCCGTCAAACTGACCAAAAATGCGCCTCAACGTTACCAGTGCAAGGTTTGCTCGGAAGGCATTTTTGTCACAGTTAGCGTAAGACTTTAAGTCATGGGGCACCAGGACTCCTAAATCTTTTTCGACTTGGGATACTACTAGAGAGGAGTTTCCTAAGTTGTAACTGTAGTTTGCGACATGTCGCAGATGGACTACTTTACACTTAGAAGTGTTAAAGGTAAGTCCGTTATCGTCTGCCCAACTATGAAGTCGAGTCAGATCCTCTTGAAGAGCCTGTATATCGTCTTGGTTGCGTATCTCTCTCCAAAGTTTCACGTCGTCGGCAAAAAGTAATAAGTCTGACGTTACCTGTTGAGGAAGATCATTTATGTAAATCAAGAAGAGAAGAGGCCCTAGTACTGAGCCCTGGGGGACCCCACTAGGACATTCCATAGCCTGAGATAAAGTGAAATTAACCCTAACCTTAAAGTGTCGATTTTTTAGGTATGAAGTAAGCCAATCGATTAGAGGTGGTTTGATACCTAGTCGTTTGAGCTTGTTGATAAGACACAAGTGGTTAACCTTATCAAAAGCTTTTGAGAAATCAAGGTAAATGACATCAACCTTTCCCTTGCGATCGAGGATGCTTGTCCATCTGTCCACCGCAGTCAGCAGGTTGGTTATACAAGAGTAACCCTTCCTGAAACCATGCTGTTGGGGTGAGAAGAAATTTAAGGACAGTAGATAGTCATTTAAACCGTCGCATATCAGGGACTCCATGAGTTTTGAAGGTAACGACAGAAGAGCTACCGGCCGATAACTTGAAGGTTCATTGCGTCGACCACCTTTGAAAATTGGTGTGATGTGAGCCAACTTCCAATTTTCCGGTAATTTGCCTCGGCTAAGCGAGTGTGAAAACATCACGCTAAGCGGCGTTGCCAGGATTGAGGCTGCCTCCCTCAGTATGGCAGGATGAACCATATCCGGGCCAGGAGAAGTGTCAAGTCTTAAGTGCTGCAATTTCCGGAACACCAAGTCAGCGCTTAGGTCCACTTCAGAAAGTCCTGTGGAATTGCAGATGAAACTGTCGTCAATAAAGTTGATATCAGCCGGTTGAAATGTTTGAGAGTAATGGGCCGCCAGAAGGTTAGCGGCGTCGCCATCGTTGTTGGTCGGGCCGTTAAGACCTAGCAGTTGAGAAACTCCTGTTTTGGCTTGACGAAGAGAGGCTGCATAACGGAATAGGCTTCTAGGGTTAGAGGCGAATTTGTCCATAAGCTTTGTTTGGTACTGAAGCCTGTCTTCTCTTATAGCCTTCGTGCATGTGTTCCTGATATGTTTGTATTGCCTATACGCTCCATCGTTATTAGTTCGTTTGTATTCCGCCCAACAGTGCCGTTTGCGGCTTAGGAGGCGAAGGGTACGGTTCTTGATTACTGTAGGTGGCTTGAAGCTTTTGGGAACCGTTTGAGGAACTGAATGGTTTGTAGCACGTAAGAGCGTGTGCAGCAAGAAGTCCCAATGACCATCCACATCGATTTGAGGGTGAACATCCCAAGCCACCTGTTGTAGATGGTCATGTAGAGCTCGCACATTCAGCCGTTTAAAATTCCAACGCAAATTATTGTTGGGATACCTTAGCTTAGTTTTGATGACAAAACTGAAGGCTATGACGGCATGATCGCTTTTTCCCAGAGGAGCCAGGATTGAGAGGTTGTCGACTAGGAATTCTTCGTTAGTGAATACACAGTCTAAGCGCGATGGTGTCTGACTGTTTCTCCAACGAGTTGCCGACCTCACATTTTCATATAAGCCCAAGTTATCGATGAGGTTGAAGAACCGAGCTTCAGTTGAGTTGTCGCCTCCAGTGTACGTGTGTTCCGCGAAGTTGACTCTAGGGAGATTAAAGTCCCCTAGAATCAGGATGTGTGTGAAACCGAGACGGATAGAGCGGGATAGTCCTTCCAGCATACGACTATCGTACTCGGTGTCGGCAGTTGGCTTCCTGTAAATGACTCCGACTAGACACCTGGAAGTACTAGACAACCTTACAGAGCACCATATGGATTCCTCAAGATTGTTAAACTCGAGGTTGTGAACCTGGTGCACCTCCAAGCAAGAGCTTATGTATATGGCTACTCCGCCCCCAATTCCTATTTTTCTGTCGTTGCGGAACAAAGTCATCCCAGGCAATGCTAACTCTTGATCCGAGAACTGAGAAGATGTCCAGGTTTCAGATATTCCTATCAGATGGGCCTTGTTAGCGTCGCTAAGTTCACGTAGTTCATCCAGTTTGTTTGGTAAACTCGCGGCGTTCGTATATAAGCAGTTTATGCTTTCAATTTGGAACGCATGAGCTTCGTCCTGTTTTTCTGTATGAACCTTATGTGAATGGACAGGTAGCCCACCTATATGAGGTTTGCCGAGGTGGTAGGCCCTGTCCTTTACACGTTTTTTTTATCGTTTAGACAGTCCACAAGTGGAATGGTCAGCTCCAACTTGCCTTTGTTCTTGGTCCTGACTTCGTATGGCCTATCCGGGTGCATGTGGATTCCAGGTGGCAATCGACGTCTGTTGGCACGAAATGCTTCCAGAACTGCAGCCGCCATGTGAGAAGATGGGAAGGTTATCTTCATCAGACGAGGTCTAGGATCACCGTCCTTCTTGGCTAGTCTCGTCACATGCTGAGTCAGTATGTGTTTGAGCCTCAAGGACTGTTTGATGAATTTCCATTCCCTGATGTCAGAATTTGATTGAGTAGGGTCTGCATTTTCCGGTATACCTTGGACAATTATGTTTCTTCCGCGGAAGAACTTCTCGCGAGATTCTTTAGGGACGTTTCGTATGATATTGCGCTCAGAGTACGGTATGTCGGGCAATATTCTTACGTTACCATCTGATTTCAGTAAGTGACTTGCTAGCAAGACGTCCTCTACGTCGGTAGCATTCTTAAGTGTTACTCGGAGAAGCCTCGGGTGATTTAGATGCTTAGAATCCTTTCCTCGAGTGAGCCGGGTGACCGTCAAAGGCTCTATTCTAGGAAGTTCGAGCTTTTTGTTCAATTCACCCCACAGCATCCTGTCGTTTTTATCCTGCAGACTGAGAGGAAGGTCAGGATTGTCGACGAGGTTCATGATAATGAGAGAATCGTCACGAACTGTTGTTAATTTACCAGGTTTCACGATGGGTTCAGGTTTAATAACTTGTTTTTTGGAGGTCAGTGTGCGTTTATGAATCTTGGGCTCTTTATTGACCGGACGAACAGTCTTGGGGGTAGACTGTGCGACTAAATCACCAGTTATTTTCCGTGCAGCAACACTTGGGTTGCTCGGCTTAGGCGGTGATGCCTGGTTCTTTTGGGCTCTCTTAACGTGGGTCGAATCGCCTGCAGGGTTTTTGGGAACCACTGTTGTGTTCAGCGACCCTGAGCTGGGAGACCCGAGTTTGCCTAGGGAGTCTAGTACCGTCGACGTAATGATGGTACTGAGCCTCGACACGTCGTCGTTAGTGTTGATGGATGCTCCATCGATGACATACCTATCGACATCCCTATTTTTGAGTCCGTTGCGCGCTCTTGTTTGTATATCGGTTTTTTTACTGTCGTATTCCAAGTTAACTGACAGCTTGTTTCGAAGACCTGTCAGTAGGACAATGATGTTACTCAGCAAGACTACTGCGTCCGTGTTGCACGTGACACATACCCACTTTTGGTCTGACTTGCTGAGTTTGTTGTAAGCAGTTGCTGTCAGATTTGTGCATGCTTCGTGAAACCAACCTTTGCAGTTGTCACACTGCATGCCAGTTGTGACAGCAAAACGGCATCCCGGACGTTTGCATGAGTTTTTCATGACGGTGTTGAAGCAAACTATGTTATAGATGCTGGCAAAGCTTAAGACCTTTTAAAAAAAACACTAAAATGCACACTGAAAACGGACAAAAACGGACAAAACGAGTGATATAAACTGAAACTAGTCTATACGTGAAAAACAAAAAAAACCGAATAGTAAGCTGAGGCAAAACCACAGGTAACTATTAAATATAGTGAAACTCAAAAAAAAGTAATCTACCGAACGTA